GTCAACCATTTCTGGCCGGCAACTTTCAGCGTCATTAAGCCGCTGTGCCACCGCGTCCCCCTAGTCGTAGATCACTCTCTCTCAAATTAACTATGAACTAAAAATAACAAAACTTGTTTGGTAGGGAAAAAAAACTGAGCCAAGAATAGCTGGACCTGAGAGATGGGTCGTTGTGCACAATTTGATTTTATTCCACTTTGGTTATCTAGTGTATCACCTCTTCAATCATGTAAAGAAATCAGAAATTAAGCCAGTTCTGGGGATTCGTAACCCAGCTTGTAGGAACAAAACTGATTCAGGTATGCAAATATGTTTTCTGCTATGCATACTTAGCCAGTACAGACAATGCTGAAATTCTCTCCTGCTCTGTTTGGGACTCTGGGATTGTCTAAGACATGAAATCACATGAGAAGATTCCATGCTATGACTCCATCCTGAGACTCCTGGGAAGCAAAGTATTGCTGGTAAAAAGTCATGGAGCATGATTTCCTTTCCAACAGCCGGACTTGACACACCTGAATTCTATAGGAATGAATAGGTTGTATGTAGGTCTTCTACACTGCAAATCCTTGTGGCCATTTTTGCTTGCTGTCTTATGTCCCAGTCCACAGCCTTCTACCATGGAGAAGGGCAAAGGCCAGATGTACTCCGTATACAGAAGTAGGTTTCCCAAGGAGACTCCCTATGGCGAATGTGCAAAGCCTGCTCTGAAAAGTGTGATGCAAGAAAGGGGAGGAAAAGTTACCTCTTCTTGTATGCAAAATCAGAAGGGTTACCATAGCAAGCCCTTTTGGTGGATTCTATAGCATTTGCCATAATTTTCAGGCAAATGCAATAAGCACATCCTCTGATTTAGAATATTTTCCAAAGCCAAAGGCAATTGCAGAAAGAAGCTGTCAACCCTCGGGCCATTATCCTGTGTATGCCACTCCCCCCCCCCCGAATCCCTTTAAATGGGGCAAATATTGAAGAATATCCCAGTGGGTTGGCCCACATGATCATTTATACAAACCTTATCTAAATAATTAGCTTTATGGACAATGGGCAGGGGCAGAGATAGGTTGTATTTTTATATTTCAACCTGTTCCCTTAGATTTTCCCTCCCCAACAAATCTTGATAGTAATTTATAAGCCCTGATCCTGGAAACACTTGATGGTCATTTGGTAAAGTAGATTTAATTATGCTAGACAATCAAAAGGGACATTCTCCCCTCTTAAAGTCTCTCCTTGGCTCAGTAACTTCTGCTGAATCACCTTGGGAGGGTGGTGGTGGTCAGGTTCAGCTGTTTACACTCTTAAACGTAACAAAAAAGATGATGATGATGATGTAGATGTAAAAGAGACAATGATCTTTGTGGTGTTTTGAAGTTCTCTTTTTTAACTTTATTTTTCAGGACAACAAAAATCTTTATGGTTGCAAATATTTATTGAAAGTAGTGTACAGGCTCTGTGAGGTTTGTTTTGGGCTTAAGAATTTCTTTAAATAAACTGTCACACATTGGAGTGTGTACTATGTGAACACATATGTAAACTTTTCACTCCTCAGGGACTCTGTTAGGAGATTAATTCTATATGCAGTGTTGGCCATATCTTTGCTGAGACAGGAGTGATCACAGCAACCCACATGTGTAGGGAGGTGGGGAGCAGCAACTGCTATGGAAGAATTTGAGCCACATAGCAATTTTGCTATGTCAAGACCACCTTTGGAAGAAAATTCACTGCCCAACCTGATCTGCTTCTGAACATGTGTTTATGTGCCTACACATGCATGAACCCTGTTGTCCTTCAGACAGCAAAATGTCTGACACCAGCTGTGCTTCAGGGATGACTTTCACATCAGCACATATATGGTGTTAAACTCCTCAGCATCCAGTAGTCTGCTGGGATGCTGTGGGTGTTTTCCAGAGACATGGTTTCAAAAACAAGAGCCTTTAGGTCTTTCACAGTCCTTCAACAGCCCATAAGGAGCTTCTAAGAGGTAAAGCTTCCTCCAAGTTGAATTCAATTCTTGGCGACTTCACAGACACAGCCATACAGTATCTTGGCAACAGAACTGAAGTGGTTTGTCATTATCTCATATTTCTTCTATTTGGATCAGGAGATAAAAATTGTTACACCATGAGGCACCAAGAATCCCTCACTTTATACTTTATCTAGCTCTCTTTCTCAGCAGTCTAGGGGTATAAAATATTTGGCCTGAACATTTAACACTACAGAAACAGGCTTATATGATTGAATGCTTCCCCCTCCCCATGATTTTTATTCATACACTGCTTCCACAATATGCCTGCTTACAGTAAATTGGGGGGAAGGTCATAAAACATACTGAACCATAAATCACACACTAGACTAAAATGTGGATGATTAGTTTGTGTTGCATGTTATATGAATGGGCCACAGAAAACTAGCCCATCAGGGGGAAAGCCTAGACCAGAACACTCCCCTCAATAGGCAGTGATTCAAACATGGTACCCTATCACCATCCCATGCTCTCTGTAGGCCAAAATCACAACTGAACAGCAAGTAGTCCATGAAATCAATGAAGGTGCTGGTCTTGGGGTTAAAATGCTGGAATTAAATTCAATAGTGTCGGAGAGGATGAGATAAGAGGGCAGACTCTCCATCAAGAGACTGTGTTAGATCCGAACATGGGTTCTGGGGTTGAGTTTCTTTTGATTTTTGGCAATGGGGTACAGAGTGATTGGGTTTGCACATTACTACATTAGACAAAAATCAGTTGATTGGTTTCACATGTTGGGGGAACCCAGCCATAGTCTTACTACATTATGTGAACTAGGACATCATATTAAGCCCTAATACAGTTTGCTGGGCAGTGGATAAGAGGGGACTTTCTCCCACACCCAACCATGTGATTGTTCTAATCTTGGGGAATGTTAGTAAATGAAAATAGTCTCATAGCAGCTAAGAGATTGGGCTATTGATAAAGAAATCCTGGGTTTCACTATAACCACTGGAGGGATTCATCAAGTGGCTCTACTCACTTCCTGCAATATGAGGATACAAATACAGTGGTACCTCGGTTCACGAACTTAATTTGTTCTGTGACTCTGGTCGCGACCCAAATTGGTCGAGATCCT